TACCACCTATTGTATGAAAGAGGTCAATAAACGTCTATTCTATTCTATTATTATTATTATTATTATTATTATTATTATTATTATTATTATTATTATTATTATTATTATTATTATTATTATTATTATTATTTATTATTATTATTATTATTATTATTATTATTATTATTATTATTATTATTATTATTATTATTATTATTATTATTATTATTATTATTATTATTATTATTATTATTATTATTATTATTATTATTATTATTATTATTATTATTATTATTATTATTATTATTATTATTATTATTATTATTATTATTATTATTATTATTATTATTATTATTATTATTATTATTATTATTATTATTATTATTATTATTATTATTATTATTATTATTATTATTATTATTATTATTATTATTATTATTATTATTATTATTATTATTATTATTATTATTATTATTATTATTATTATTATTATTATTATTATTATTATTATTATTATTATTATTATTATTATTATTATTATTATTATTATTATTATTATTATTATTATTATTATTATTATTATTATTATTATTATTATTATTATTATTATTATTATTATTATTTATTATTTATTATTTATTATTATTATTATTATTATTATTATTATTATTATTATTATTATTATTATTATTATTATTATTATTATTATTATTATTATTATTATTATTATTATTATTATTATTATTATTATTATTATTATTATTATTATTATTATTATTATTATTATTATTATTATTATTATTATTATTATTATTATTATTATTATTATTATTATTATTATTATTATTATTATTATTATTATTATTATTATTATTATTATTATTATTATTATTATTATTATTATTATTATTATTATTATTATTATTATTATTATTATTATTATTATTATTATTATTATTATTATTATTATTATTATTATTATTATTATTATTATTATTATTATTATTATTATTATTATTATTATTATTATTATTATTATTATTATTATTATTATTATTATTATTATTATTATTATTATTATTATTATTATTATTATTATTATTATTATTATTATTATTATTATTATTATTATTATTATTATTATTATTATTATTATTATTATTAATTATTATTATTATTATTATTATTATTATTATTATTATTTATTATTATTATTATTATTTTGACAAAATTATGTATAATTCCCATAAGGAGCCGTATTTTTAAAATCGTAAGCAATACCAGCGCCCATGCGGTAAATTATAAAAGCTCAATTAGGGTGCGTTTTTTGGGACCGCATTTTGAGTATGCCGATTCGCCTCCTTATCTCTAATCTTCATATGAATCGTAGAATATATAAGGAATGCCTAATATCCAGTTTGACATATGACCTAAAGTATAATGCAAAGGTGCGGACACTTTAACATCGTCTTTATTCTATCTCAATGATACGAAAGCAATGACTCTGGTAATGACTGGAACAAACCTGTAGACTGGCTGACATGGTCGTAACTAAGTAATGTAGATAGAGAAGTTAAAATTTGGTTTTCACCTTAGAGTAGGTGATAAAGAGAGGACTCATAACGCCGCTGAAAATTTTGTTTTATTCTGACACCAACAATATTCGACCAAAGGCGTAACATGTTGGAAATAAAAAAATGAACTTTCATTTATGTTATTAGTACTTTATTGATCTTTTTAGGTATAAAGCAAGTTCAAAGCGTAAAATTTAAAATAAATAAGTAACAATAAGACACAAGGAAAAAGTATATTGAAATAAACTGAATGAAATCGTTTCCATAATAAAATAAAATAAAACTTTTAAATTCCGGAAAATAAAATATGATCTACATGTATTACAAAAAGATTTATTTTTACTTAATAAAGAATGACATTACCCAGATAGCAAAGACATACTTTAAAGACATCTTAAAGACATTTGTTCACGACGTTTGTGACGTTTTGAAGATGTACGCTAATATCCAAAACATATTTTAAAAGCGTCTATAGGACTGTTACAAAACAAGAGATCCAGTTTTGTACGTCTTTAAGACAAACCGTATTGGACGTGTTTAAGCCGTCTATTTACTTGATGGAAATTCGCTTAAAAAAATAAATGAATACTTGTCTACTATATTTAATACTGGTTATTATAGATTATTAAACTATCAAAACTGAGACAGAGTAAATATTATTTTACAGTATTGGATAAAATTATTAGAAAATGACTTCAAGTACTTGTTGCTATGAGAAACTATTCCCAAAAATCCTATTTTTTCCAGTTTGGTCGATTTAAAAACTTCTTTTACGGTATTAATTTTAGCCAAAGCTCCTGTAACTAATGTCTTCGTAGCATATAATTTTGTTTTAAGGTATTTTTCTAAAAAATAAGACTATTAAAGTAAGCTTATGAAATTAAAAGGCAAATAAATTAAAACTTGCCGTTTTTAATGATAAAGTTTACTAGTTCCGGTATACGATAGTTCCAATAATGGCAAATAAATAATATAAAAAGACAATATATAAAAACACAACCACGAAAAAGTAATGACAATGTCCACAGACTGACGCTAATAATATTATTATACAATAGCTGTCCCGAGAAGGCAGCCAAAGGAAGAACACGACTTGATACGCGCACGCGAGAGTATGCAATTAACCAATGACAATGACTAATGACGATCATACATGCGCTGCACTCAGCACCAAGAACGGTATCATGGCGCCATATTCAAATATAGCTAAAAGAGTTGAACATCCACATTACCGACATTTAAAACGTCCTATATGTTTTAAACATGTCCTGAGCAAGGCATCTTAAAACCGTCCGTTTTAAGTACCAGGACGTTTGGACGAAAGTAAGACATGAACTGGACGTCTTTAAGATGTTGTGTGCTCTCTGGGTATTATTAAATTAAGCTCGTAAGAAAAATTATACATAAATGAAGATAAATTTATTACTGACACTTAAATAATACTAATTTGGTATAATAACAAGAAGTTTTAGCAAAGTAACTTTTTTTGTATCTTTTAAGTTTTTGTTTAAGAACTTTGATTTGTCTTGTTTTTTCTCCATTCTTCTCTACCCGTTGTAAAAGTTGTCTTCTAAGCCATTTTATGCTAGGACTTTCTGGGCTACATTCCTTATTTGCAGTTCTATTTGAAGGGCCTGACTCAGCTTCCAAATGCAATGCTGTTCTTTTTAAGTCCTACAAACAATCAATTATTACGGTAATGTTTTGAATTATACACAAAAGGGTTGCTAAATTCTTAAAAGTGCATAATATTATTATGTATTATTTGTTTATTTTAAACAACAGTTTATTTGTAAGTAATTTATTTTATAACAATACTATTCTAATTTATATATATTTCGAATGTCTTTAAACTGTTCACTATTTATATTCACCTCTGTCTATGACTGACTGCCGCGTTGTTCCTCCACCAATATTTATATACAAATTTAAAATTATGGTGAAGGTTCTAGAATTTTCTTCGCCAAAACTAGAAACATTATCACGTTCTACCTGGAAAGATCTTGAAAGCGACTCCGCCATAGTCGTCACATATGTTTGGGCTTAAGGAGTTTAATTATGTATGATTAATCGGACAAGTTGAGCCTCAAAAACCAAATAAGACAGAGAGGGAATTGGAGGATTAGAGCATGACTAAATAATGGAATGGCTCACATTACAATAATGAAAAGTAATTAAAAAATATACATGTTTAATTATGTTAATTAGTATACACATCTTTTTCGGCTGCATGTATTTAGGGAATTCAGGAAATATAGTTGAAACTGCTACATTTAATAAACGTCTGTTACAGTCCGTCCCATAAAAAAATGTCTTTTAAAATGTTTTGAACATAATCTATCATTTGGCGTAGGCATTCAAATCAAATCTAAAATATAACAACAAATAAACATTGCTGCAATTAAATAAAAAGCAAAAGTAAATTAGAATTTAATAAAAGTTAATATTTAGAATTGTACGACACGCCACTGGAAAAAATTTCTTTACCCATTTTAATATCATTAATTGCCTAAATATCAATGAAAAGCATAAAATAAACAAACTTGGTGGGTAAAATTTATTACTCTGCAGTGAGACATGTACAATATGTAAATACCAAGTTGTATAACACCAAATAAAATGAAAAATATAAAAAAAATATATAAAGTAAAAACGATTGATGTTTATTATTTACCTGTGAAACGTAATATCTGCTTCTTTCTTGCCGCTATAACTTTTACACTGATGTGCTACACAATAAGCCATTCTAATAAACCAATTATTAAATGTCGTTTAATTCAAAAATCAGAAATAAACACGAACAAAAACTTTGGTGTCACCGAAATGCTTAGCACCAAAATAATGTCCGCCAATAGATAATCGGCACAGAATACTACGTATGCTCGATATACTTGTTACGCGTCCCCTCTTTTTTACCTAGTCTATGGTTTTCATGACTATTGTCATCTATGATGCCGGTATACTTTTTACCTGTTTTGTTACAAGTCATTTTATTTAGAGATTTACTACTATAAATGATTCGGGAAATATTGCAACATCTCTGCCCACATTGCGTCGGAGTAAGAAACACTGCACTAGGTACGAAATGAATTGGTGGGGACGCTTGATGTGTCGCAATATATCTAGAAACTCTTCTAATTAATAAAACTTATTGCTATTAGTGAGTTATAGGTAAAAACTATTTTTAAATATGAAAGGGATAAAGGGATAAACTACACAGCCTAACAACAGCGCATCAGGAAACGCATGTCGGTTCATTTACGAAATAGCTACGCGCTACGTTTCTTTGCAATGTATGACCGGGTTTTAATTGCTTTTTACTATTGAAATACCCTACTAAAAAACCCTTGCATACTCTGCTATGAGCACCCTCTTAATAATATATATAAAAATATGAAAATTATCATAAAATATTGTTTGGCACCAAAATATTTTTTTTTTTTTTAGGTTTAATTTATATGTGAAATTAATGTTTGCAATGGGTGTAAACTGGATTACGGAAATAATATCTTGGGGTGTATCATGGAAGACTGAGAAAACGCACGCAGAGATATTTTACTTAACGGACTTTACAAATGCCATGTATGGTTTTGTCATATTTTTAATATTTGTTTTTAAGAAGAAAATATGGCGTGGTTTACAGAAAAGGTAAGGGTTTTTAACATAAGGGTTCTATACGGAACTTGAATTATCTATAAAACGAACTTTATTATATCAATAACGAAACCTGAAAAGTGTGTTACTCTACATTTTAATGTCAACTATTAGGTGGCTGACATGCTAAACTCTATTCAACTTAAACGCAAGTAACGCGTAAACACAATAGCTCCTTGACAACAGCACATTGAGCTAGAGGGTAGAGAAACATCCAAAACAGGATCACTGTGCTGGCCAATAGCAGCCGTGCTTGTGCGTATTATGGGGCTACCATTTCTGCAACATATTGTTCAACTTGGAGTTCGTGTGGACTTTGCTCTTTCTGGATGGCTTCAGTAAACTTCCAAATATTAGGTTGTTCACAAATTTGCTTCTCAAATCTTCGATAGTATTGTTTGTTTCCAGCAAGTCTAGACGTACTTCTTCTACACAATTCCACATGTCGAGCGAAAAAAGTGGTGGGCGGCGGCGAACTCTTTGTGTAAGTCCAACCCAGGTGTCTTCAAAATAATCCACTACTGGTTTTGCTCCTGGAAGTTAAATGTTTTTTTCACAGAGCATGTCAAATACACCAACCACATCTGCTGTAGGAACAAATGCTATTGTGGCTAATAACCGCATTTTCAAAGCAACATCTGCGTCTATTTCGTATCTCTGTTTAAGGCCTTCGAATTGAATCTTACGGTTTATTCATTGTCAAAAATGGAAAAAACACTCCCGATGTCTGAACCGAAGAAATTTTTCAGTAATAGCGCTTATCATTCCAGTTTCAAAATCAGTCATAACTGATGCTAATGTAACTCTTGTGAGAAGCTCTTTTATTTTGTGAAACAATCGAATGAAGGTAACTCTGGTTTTATCCGGTAGCAAAGCGTAAATTAGAGTAAAAGAAACTACATTACTTTTTAACCCATGTAGTGTATAAAGCTGACAGAACAGGTGCGGTACAGTTTTGAACGTACCATCGTACTAGTGGTAAGTCCGAGTTAGAAGTTGGAGATTTTTCCTCGTACAAAACATCAATAGCCGGTCTTTATCAAGTCCTGAATCGAACATCAAAAACTCTTCCCCTTTTTTTGTTATTTTATATTCTTCGGACAAAACAATATCGCTGCGTCGAATAGGCAATGCTGGGGCAACCTGATCCCTGATTCGTACATTGCTTATGGTTCTTTTTATGTTGCTCACCTTCCCAAGCCTACTTGCTCCTGCCTGGCTGACTGCAAAAGTTGCATTTGATATGATGCAAGGTGGTACATCTCGAGTCCTTCTGGCATCGTCTGGTATGGTGGTAATCACATTCATTTTTTGTACATGTGCAGCATCAGCGAGAAGGTTGTGTGCACACTTAACTTTGTGGTATTTTTGACGTATAGAACAAGTGACCTTCATCAAACAACAAACGTTTGCCTTTTTCACTCTTATTCGAGAGCCATTTCGAACTTCACTATACCAAAATTGTCTATAAACTAAACTCAATTTTAATATCCCTTACGTAATTGAGATCGAAATGTCTTTTAGTGATATAAACGTTTAGTAATACAACTTAATGCCAATAATCTACTTTGTAATGTAAAGTTAATGAGATGCAATTAGGGAAATGTTTAGAATCATCTTTAGATTAGTTTTCAACGACCTTGTGTCGAAAACATATTAAGAATTGTTGGAGACTAAAATAACGACAACATATCATAGAAAAATGGATTTTAGGTGATTTGCTCTTTCGGTGAATTGTTTTTTGGTGAATTGTTTTTCGGTAAATTGTTTGTCGGTAAATTGTTTTTCGGTAAAATGTTTTCGGTAAACTGTTTTCGGCGAACTTTCCTATATCCGGATTATTCGTGGCTGGCGGCCGCAGATTGTCGCATAAACGCTGGTTACTTACGGATGGCCACTCGAACATTTGATGGGCTTACATTTAAGGAGTTCCTTTCGCCACCAATGTTAAATAAAAAATATTAGATTATGACTAAAATTAATTTTTTTCTAATAGTAGATGTCCTTATTTATCTAATAGTGACCTTTAAACTATACCTTACCGTGCAAATTTTTGAGAAAAACTTTTTTTTTAAATGTGTATGTTTGTACAGTGTCTTATGAGAAAGTAAGACTTCAACAACAATTTTCGAATTATAATTAATTTTACTATTATTTATTGATTAGATGGAGTAGAAAAAAACTAAAAATAAGGTTTTTGAAATATTTAGGTTTTGTTTTTTACAATAAAATATATAGGTTACCGTGGAATTTATTGAGAAATTATTATTAAAAAATCACAAACAATTTTCAACTAGGTTACTTGAAAAATTTTTGTGATTTTTTAATATTAATTTCTCAATAAGTTCCACGGTTTACTATATATATTTTATTGTATAAAACAAAATCTAAATATTTCAAAAACCTTATTTTTAGTTTTTTTCTACTCCATCTAATCAATAAATAATAGTATAATTCGAGAATTGTTGTTGAGGACTTACTTTCTCGTGAGGCACTGTACAAATACTCACATTTAAAAAAAAATTCTCAAAAATTTGCAAGGTAAGGTATAGTCGAAAGTTCAGTATTAGATAAATAAGGACTTCAGCTATTATAAAAAAATTGATTTTTGTCATAATCTAATAACTTTTTTTTTAACATTTGAGGCGAGAGGTGTGGCGAAAGGACCTCCTTAAAAAAAAATACAAAAAAATATTAATTTCAATAAAATTTATGTATCTTCTATCAAATTGTTTCAGATATTATGTATATATTGGAAAACCAGAGCTGGCTCCGTCGACTTCGACTAGAACGCGAACCAGTAATTGTTCTACAGATTCTGTTGTTAGTATTTCTACAGACAACTTCGTTAATGCGTCACCTAGAGGACCTGAAGAAATTCCTCTGAATCGGAAGCACTCTAAATAAAAAAATGTACATGAAAGAATTTTTCTGTTTAGATTTAAGAAGAACATGATATTGCATTTTGAAATCTGATATATTTGAGACATGTCCCTTTTTAGACAAGTTTGGTGTACGTAATTTCGTTTTTGGTTCCTTGGTATACATACTTTCAAAAATATATAAAACTTTGAATTGAAAGATATCTGTCAATGGTGCAAAATAGCCAACAGTAAATTACTTGATTTTTTTTATTTAAACGGAAAAATTTACTTTTTAGAAACTATTACATGGTTCTAAAACATTTTTTTTATTTTTCTAAACCTTTTGGAGAATATTTTTCCGCAAATATACGTCTATTTAAAAATTCGTCTTTTAAAACACTATCTACAAATGTAGAAAGCCAAAGGACAAATTAGGTTAGGTTTTAATTTTTTATTTTGTTCAAGGTGGTCAACAATTAATTTTTGTTTCAAACATTTTAAGAGAATTTTTTTGGGTGTTTTTAAATGGAATACCTTGATTTCTATCTCAATAATTTTCCCATCACAAAAATTATTGATGTATTTCTTATGATTTGAGATTTTTAATAACCTTCTTTATATATTGTTTTACCTTGTCCATTTAAAAAATATCATAATACCAAAGACATTTCTAATTGTCCAGAATTAACATTATTCTAAAATAATGCCTAGCATAGAGCACTAACAAAATTGTATTAATATGGAATAAAAACTGTATGTTTGTAAGATATGTTATTGTTTATTTTAATTTTATTAATAATAAACAAAACCTTCCTCCCTAACTTATTTTTCTTCCCTTAATTATCATGAATTCATTACTCCAAGCTAGCACATAAACATCTATGTTATTAAGCTGCAATTTCGGGATCTTTAAACTCGCATACAATGTACTTTTAATGTAACCCTAACATCCATACAACCACCTAATGTCCTCAACTGCAAGACTTTTATAGCACATCTCGGTGAGATTACAAAGTGAAGTTGGGAGAACATCACACTAGCAGTTTTACAGTTTTTCTATAACGTTTTATAAATGTTTTAATGTGAAGTAGTTCTACAGCATTATACAGTGCGTCAATAGTAGAGCTGCAGGTTTCGTCTAGCTCACCGAGCGTTGTCAGCTTGGTGATATACACAAAATAACAGTGTAAAGAGATAATCATGTGATTGTGGGCTAAAAAATCAAAAAATATCCACTGTTATCAGTGGAAGCTTATCTGTAAGGGCTGTAGGGCTACAACTTCGTACAAGAGGAAACCAATTCATATAAAATGAAAATGTATAATGTTATGTACCAATACTCTTTTTATTACAAAAAAAAATGTACGCAACAGGGTGTCTAAAATTTAATTTATTGAATAGCAACAGGAAATAGAAATATCTATTAGTGGTGAGCAATTGGAGGCTCAAATAATGGAAAGGGATACTTTTTAAAATTGTTTTGAAAAGGTAATGAGTACAGGAAAACATATTTTAATTTTAAATATATATGTGAATATAAAAAATAAATAAATAGATAAGATTAATATCAAAATTAATTTGAAAATACAACAGATAATAAAATGAAATAAATTAATACAAGTACAAATAGAAAGTTAATAACATACCTTCTAAAAGTAACACATTTTAAGTAGATAAATGTTTAAAGAGTTTATTCCTGAACATAACTAATCTAACGTTTTCCCCCTTTTTAATATTATGACGGTTTTTGTAGTTGAAATGAAAATTATAATTTATTTTGGGCCTAATAAAAATTTAAACATAGGTTATCAAAAAGTAAAATACATAATAGAACTTCATAAACTTAAATCGTTATCAAAAATTATTAATAGTAAAACTTCAAACAATAATTAGATTCTTAAACAAATTTCTAGTTTTTATTTTGCAAAAGACTTTTTTGCCTTCTTCGGTTGCCTCTGCCACTTTTCTTTTAGTAGTTTCGAGGAGAATTTTCCTATGGAAACCAGTAGAACCATCAATTGGTTGGTAAAATTTTGATATGTTGGGTCTGGTAAGTCTTGTTAAACTTTCTTCTTAGGAAGCTGTAACCTTATGGAGAATAAAAATTTAATGTTAGATCAAAAGCTCTTATTGAGAATTATATTTGCAAAGGCCGTTTTAATAATATTTTCAAAGGTTCTTGGAATCGTTGTTAACAGAAACCTGCAAAAAAATATATTATTTTATTCCTAAAATATAAGATATCACACAATGCACATTCATATAATATCATTGTGCTAGAAAAATACTAGGTAGGTACTGAGACAATTTAAAAAAATTATTTCGAGAAACTCAACTTTTAATGTCATCATTGTACTTAACTTTTTTATTGCTAAATTATTAATAATGTCATTTTGTGTAGTTATTTGTATAATATATAGGTATTATAAAAACCTATCGTCAATGTTAATGTGCCAAGTTTTTTTAATAATTATGTCCTTGTTATAGTAAAAACACATTTAAACACATTTTTAAAGTTTTCTGGATTTCTGCTTTAAATTATCGTACAATTGAACTGACTAATTGTGTGTTTAAGTAAAGGTATATCTCTTTTTCGTTATAACAGTTTTTGTATATTGTTCTAACTTTTTAGATAATCAGAAAAAACAGTAAGACATCTTAAAATATCCTATTTCAACAACAAAATGTAGAATAATTAATCTCACATCAAACGAAAAAAGTCATTTTAGGATGTCCTAATAGGTTTTAACTTAACAACTAAATAAAATGTATATTGCAACTGTGTTTAAATAAATGAATGTTTTTATCCTGACTATAGCACCAGACAAACATTTTTTTAGATCATAATGATCTGCATAACTCAAAATAGTCAAAATCCACATTATTTAAGTTGTTTTAGTATTGTTTTAGCATAACAATGTAAACGTTTTTTAAGGAAATTAAAAAAAAAAACATGAATAATGTGATATTCTTGTTTAGTTTTGTACTATATAATATAGTTCATTAGGTAGTGATTTAGCTAGTTATAGAATAAAAAATCACTCATAATATCTAAATATTTATACCTATTTATATTTTGGACAGGAAGACTATTTTATGTTTTTGGCTCTGAATAGTTTTCTTAAGAATTTTAGAACCTTCCTTAGCTCTTTTGGGATATTTCATGCATATCTTAGAAGTTAATTTTATTTAAACCTAAAACAAATTAAGTACAAAAAAATGAAAATTTAAACAATACACAAAATTAGTCTTTTAGATTAGTTAAAAAAAAAAGTGTCAACAAAAAAATGGCTATGCCTTTTTCCTTAAACATACTTTTTAAAAGAAACTTAAGTTTCTCTACTTTCTTGCTGTTTTAGTATTTTAGTAGCAGATGAATATAGTGTAGAAGTAGTGACATGATTGATTATTATACTTCTTTCGTCGAAATTGCATTTTTCTTTAATATTTTCCTCTCCTGAGGTCTGTAATAAAAATTTTTATTAGCATAAAAAGGTATTCAGGTGGTCACTTGTTGAATTCCTATATTTTGGAACCATGTATTTTTTCTCATATCAAGAAAAGGAAACCTAAAAAAAATAACAATAAACTTTACAAAGATGTGATTTTAAAATAATAATACCTTTACTATAATCATTATGAGACGGATGAAGACGAACTTAGCTGGAGTTTACTTGCTCTTAATTTTAATTTTTCGATAAGAAAATAAGAAAGTTTAATTGCAAATCAAAGGTGATTGCCTAATGCACCGCCTCTGATAATTAGGTTGTGTCTGTACTTACTTATGATATTATCTTGAAGAAGCATTTTCAACAGGCCTTTTACACATAAAGCATGTTTTCACCATATTATTAGAGATAATAAATCTTAAATATACATTTACAACCCTTACAACGTTATAAATAATAATATTTTCCGTAAAATACAAATTAGAAATTGACATGTGTCAGAAAGTGTCAGAACTGGCGCTGTCAAACTTGGCAACTCTGATTAAATAAGCCAATTACAGAAGAGGTATTTTTCCCCTCGGGGGGAGTAGATGTTGCTAACAAAATTTAGCGCGGGGAAGGGGGGAAGACTCCCTCTAGTAGTAATTGCTCGGAGGAAAATTTTAAATATCTAACCTATAATTTGATTAGTTCTTCTTCTTATTCTTCTTCTATTCCTTTTGCGTACAATATCCTTTGGGAAAATTCACCCATAATTTGATTTTTTATGAAAGAAAATATAAAAATGTAACTGTGAAGTATATTGTCTTCATAAATGAACGTTTATTGGTTATATCATAGTAATACTATACAACACTATCTACATAAATAGCAGATAAATGATCAGTTCTAAAGTACCTATATTGGAAATGAAAATTCTTAAAATTGCACTAGGAATTTTTTATAACTTATGGGGACTACAACTAAAATGAGATATTCGTAATAGAAATAAGAGCCTCGAGCTAGAACAACATAGATGGTCGAATCACTGTAGGGAACAAGTATGAAACGAGAATCGGTGAGTTTTTCATTGTTACAATAAAACCAGGAAGAACATTGATATAAATATGGTTAAAAGATGTAGAAGATCTAAACAATAGCTGTGAAAATGTTTAAATTTAAACATCTATAGGATATTTTAGTACCGTTTTAAAAATATATCAAGAAAAGTCTCTATGAGAAATGTTACAAAAAAGACTTAATATTTTGTGTTTAGTGGGCATGCTCTAATAATTTTTTTGAAGTTGCTGCAATAAATTAACTATCTACCTTTTGAACCATCCGAAATTCATTTTGATGTTTTTCTTTCATATCTCTAGCCTTTTTCCGGTTTTCAGCACCACTTAATTTTTTCTTTACCGCGCTCATCATATCATAGATTCTGATTAGCCCACTGATCTGTATTATTTTACTGGATAGGATATAGCCCCCTAAAAAACATTCCGAAAAATTGGCCGATTTGGGCAAATAATATGGCACAATATGGATACATGTAACTAAAGCGATTCGAATTGGAACTGATCTAGTGGTGTTTTCATATACATGATTTACATTAAGAGTTTTGCAAGATAATGTAGGTAGGTAGTTTATATTTTCAAAGTTAATTTTAACAATATAGATGTTGAAATATATTTTAAATTACCTACACTTCTAGGAAAGCTAACAAAATTTACTAATAATTACCACTGCTAGAAATTGTAATTAACATTTCTACAGTAGCGTGCTGTGACATTTTTGAAAGGGGAAGCGATTGTATAAAAATACAGCAGGCCAGTAAGCACAGCGCCGCAGGCGATAATTTTTCGCGGCGCATTCACCATTTTGTCAAAATCTTGCTTTTTTCCTCAGTACTACGGATATTCGAGATTGAGATTTTTGAAGTGTTACTATTACTTTATTACCTAGTTTAGTACTAGAAGCTATAAAAAAACTTACCATTTAAAAGCTTCCTAGGTTTATTTAATCGTAAAAAAAAAACAATTAACTGAAGTTTTTTTTATTTTTTCCAACATTTTTCGCACAGTCGATATTTATTTATATTTAAGATCTATTCGCCTATCCTCAATGGCTGCAAATTTGTCTATAACATCGTCGTAAAATTTTGGCTTTTCTGATAACTGTTTCACAAGCTGTTTTTCAATGGATATTAGGGCTAAATTAGAGAATCTGTCTTCACTTGTTGAATTTCGTATAAAACTTTTAATGCGCTTTAAAGCTGAAAAACTTCGCTCAACTGACGCTCTTGTGGCTGGGATGGTTAGTACTAATTCACACAACTTGACGACTTCACAAATCGACTTATTTAAACAACACTTAACTGGGACTTTAAACCTGGAATATCGAAAAAATTTCCATAATTTAATTTTAGTGAATTAAAGGGTTCCGATGGAAATTTTGATGACTCGTAGTTACTAATATTAAAATTGCACAATTCAATAAATTTTAATTCGTTAAAGTTTTGAAATCGAGAGTTCATTTGTTGTAAAATATTATCAAAAATTTCGGCGTATAATCGACGATATGGGAGGTCTCTCTGTCACCAACATTATCAATTCTAATTATCTTTCTTTCAGGTTCTAAGCCAATGTTTTGAGTCTTATTCCAAAAGTGTTCAAACTGATCTCGTTTTTTATTCATTTTATTTTTAAAATCATCAATTTGTTTTGCAAAAGCCAATGTTATTTGAGTTTGTCTGTAAAATGTCGAATAAATATCAGTAAAAGGAAAAATCTCTGCAAAAATGTTGAGCAAAAAATTGAAATCAAAGTTTTATATGAGCCAATGCAAATACCCTTTAGCAACAGCAACAGTTTCAGCATCCCATATTTCTTTATTATCCCAAACGTTTCGAAAAAAGTGTATCAAAGAATCACGGTATTGAAACACTGTTTGCACTAAACATCCATTGTAGTTCCATCGCGTCGGAGCAACTATTGGAAACCTTTTTTGAACGCGAATGTCCAAAGCACGAGTAGTTTTTTTCGATGACTTTGAAAAGAAAGAAGCCAAACCACTAAGCGTCGAAAACAAAACTTTGTAATCTTTAATATTATCCATGTTTTACGATAAAACCAAATTAAGTCTATGTGCTATACAGTGAACGAAAATTGCATGTCTAAACTTCTCTTTCACTTAACTTGAAGGCCTCCTAAATGGTCAGTCATTACGGCAGCACCATCGTAGCTCTGGGCAACAAACTTAGAACCACATTCTAAACTTGAAATAATGTCACAAACAATTTGAAACAATGTAACTGCAGTTCGTTTGCTAGTGACGTCCAAAAATACTAAGAATCGCTCTTGACCTAAGTTTTCTACATCTGTGGTTTCATCAAGCGCAATTGATACGAAAGGTGCTTTTTTAATTTCACTTTTAATGTGATCTATCACAACGTCGGCAGTGCATTTAATTAAATCATTTCGGATTCTGTTTGAGGTACCTCGGAAAGTTGTCGAATCAATAAAATGATATTTTAGGGTATCATCGTATTTTGCTAAAAAACTTAGAAGGTCCATGTAATTTCCTCGATTGGCGGATCCACTTGCTTCATTGTGACCCGTAAAACTTAGTTCATGCTCTCCCAGGAAACAAGTTACATCTATTAATCGTTGTAAGACGTCCCTATTTTTTTTTTAACCCTTTCATTGTGTATTTTGTTGCTTATTTTTAAATGATTGTCCAAACTATGTTCAATGCGGTAGATCCCGAATGTTTTTTCTTTAATTGTAGCACTTATATGAGATTTGCTATTTACATGTCGTTTTATACTTTTGTGAAAATTATTCAAGTCTGTAATACCGTTCCAATGTGTTTTTTCGGCTATATTAAAAAGTAGGCAAGGCCAGCAAAACAATTTCTTTAAAGTTTTGCAGTCAGTTAACCATTCATACTTTTCATAGAAACCTACGTGAAAATGCCTGGTAAATTTCTTTGCTGATTTTTCTACTTTCGTCTCTAAATTAATAGGATGCTTTAGTCTACTATAATTAATAATGTCCGTTTTCTCTTCAAAATTTCTACTTGAAAATCCTTTTTTCAATAAAGAGCACATAATACAGATACAATTTACCACATTATTATTGTTCACAGGCACAGTGCATAGTTCCTCCGTTTTATAAAAAGAAAAACAACTACGAAAAACAAACCGAAATCTATCTGAAGTCTACGATTTTCCTTACATGTCGATTCGCTGTGCGAATTGCAATATGTATAAGGCGACGTAAAAAACAGACTGACTACTGTCGCGGCAAAGCGGGTCAATAACGAGAAGCGAAATGAATTGGAAGATGAGCCGGCTTTTTCAAGACGCGCTTCCGCCGACGGACTTGAAGTATATGGTTTGTGCGTTTACACAATTAGTTTTCTCATGGGTGGTGCGTGCGCTTACATATTACACCAATGAATTTTTAGTACATTTACGAAATTTACGTAATGTTTCAGAGAAAATATAGTACCTAATTTAATATTAATTTCTATGCATTGTAAACTAAAAAATATTTATTTTTAAATCTCAAAGTGTGGGGAAGCGGTGCTTCTCCCGCTTCCATGGACCGCACGCCCCTGCATTTCTAACTCTTCCAGGTTATTACATGATCTTTTTGTTTTCTCTCTAACCATTTTTACACTATACAAACCACATTGAAATTTGTGCAACCCATAAATATATGTATTTAAAAATTGTTCTTGGAAAATGCTTTTATGATTTAAATTTTGTGTAGACTATTCGAATGTAATCTACAATTAAATAAAGAACAAATTTAAAAGCTTTACATAATTTTTACAATTATGCAAATATTGATTTATATATATTTTAAATGAAATAGAGGAAATCATGGGAAAATGCCAAAAAAATAAAAATTTATATTTCTTGAAATATTTTTATTAATGTAAAAAGGATATAAAGTAATATTTTTAATGCAATGAATTAAACTCAAAGCCAATATCACATAAAATACCAACGACCGTTTCCCCTTCAAAAAACAACTACTCCTTTGGCTAATACCGCAACAGGCATTGAATTACATCCGAAGGAAAAACAGCAGAGATAGAAATTAATTTTCAACACTCTCTACTTTGATTTTGCTCACCAAGGAGAACATCATTCTTGGACCGGTTTCGTCCTTATTGGGACTCCTCAGCAAGAAATAGATAGGTTCTCAATTCCAATCTCTAATGGAATGGAATGAGAGTTACAATATAACAATGTGATAGAAAATTCTTCGGGGGGAAGCTAAACAAATGTTGGAACAAGTAGATTTTGTAGAGCATAATTATAATATAGCTTGAGATATGTTGTGTGAGACATTCAATAACGACTATAATTTAATAAATTCCCAACTACAATCCTTAATTACAATTCCTGCAGTAGTTAAAGGAACGTTAAAGGAACTGTGAATGTAGTAATTCAACATTTAAAAATATTATGTCTGTAGGCAAACTTTGTATTGGCTAGGAAAGATATGCAATATATGAAGATTTGGATATTCAAAGATGTTATCAATGTCAAGGATACTACCACAACAAATCAAATTGTTAACATGAAAGCCGTCTCTTCGATATGTGGTGATAATCATGTAAAAAATACCTGCCCCAAGGATAAAATATGCTGCAAAAATTGTAAGGTATCAAATACTAGATAAAATAAGAATTATCCCACCGACCACCATGCTACTGATGTTATAAACTGTAAAACTCTCGAATTTCTCAAACAGGTGCTGCGTAGTAAAACGGTTTATTGTGATTTTTAATTTTTATTAACATTTTAAATTTTAATGATAAGTAAATAAGGAAAATTCGTGTCTAAAATTTGCAAACTTAAATATAAGGTCATTATTTCTCAAACTTAACGATATTTCACAATTAATTAGTGATACCTTCGACATTGTATGTGTCACAGAAACTTGGTTAAGTAATGAAATAAATTCAGATGTAGTTTCTTTAAATGGTTTCAACTTTTTTAGGAAAGGAAAGGATAGAGTGGGAGGTGGTGGTGCCTGTTATGTAAAAGAGTACTTTCCTTGTGTACCTGTAAACTTTTATTTTAATAATATATCCTTTGATTATTTGTTTCTTAAAATTAAGATTAAGACATATAATGTGGCTTTCGTCGTCATATATCGTCCACCTAATGCTAGTGTTAACGAGCTTTCAGATTTTTTAAATGATATTATTCCTCAATTGTTATCTGAATATGACTTCTCTATTATTACTGGTCATTTAAATGTAAATATGTTGCTCCCTAATTTAATTCTTGATTTATTTGATACATATGGTTATGTAAATGTTGTCAATGAGCCAACAAGGATCGTGGCAACTTCTGCTACCTTGATTGACCCTATTTTTATTAACTGTAAAGTTATTTGTCGTAATTGTAGTACTATTCCAATCCATTTTACTGATCATACTAAAATGCCTTTTTGTACATTCGATATTACAGTAAAAAAAATAAAGCAAAACTTTTAACTTTAAGAAATTTCAAAAATTTTGATATCGAACTTTTTAAAAGAGATTTGTCCTTGTTACCTTGGGATAACATTTTTTTCATTGATAATATTAATGAGAAAGTAAAATTTTTAACCGATAATATATTAATCATTTTTGACATCCATGCCCCTTTTAGAACTTTTAGAGTCAGTAAACCACCAGCTCCTTGGCTTACAAATAACCTAAAACAAATCTTTAAAGAAAGAGACAAAGCATTGTCTAAATTTAATTCACAAAAAACTCCTGAAAATTGGGATCACTATAAAATGTGCAGAAATTTTGCTTTGGCTTCTATCAGAAGGGAAAAGGCAGCATATTTATATACATTACAGACAAGCAAAAATGATAAAGCTTTGTGGAAAGGTCTACATAACATGAACATTCGTTGCTCTACTAAGAATGTAGAGTTACCTTCAACATTATGTAATCCTTCTAAAATTAATGATTATTTTCTTAGTGTTTTTAATAAATCAGACTAGTGTAAAGATAAAATATTATTTTATTTAAATTCATTTAACCTCTTTACTCAAAACATAGTGTTCTACAAACTCTATCAAATCGAATGCTAGTGGAAGAGATGGTATTTCATTACACATGATAAAGTTATGCTGGCCAATAATTGGCGATTATATCACTCATATCATAGACTGTTGTCTGCAATGTGGATATTTCCAAAAGGCTTGGCGTGAATCCATTGTATTTCCAATTCCAAAAAAACCTAAGCCAGATTCTGTCCGTGATCTTCGTCCAATAAGCTTCTTACCAGTTATCTCTAAAATTCTTGAAAGAGTGGTATACTCTCAATTGTATGAATATGTTTTAGCAAACAGCATTTTACCTAGTGAACAATCAGGCCTTCGTAAAGGTCATAGCACCACTTCTGCAATGCCAAATTTGAATGATAATATTATAAGAGCTATGGATAAAAAGATGGGTGTCATTTTAGTTAGCTTAGACTTCTCCAAAGCGTTTGATTTAATTGACCAATATTTGCTGTGTGCAAAACTCAAATATTATGGTTGCGACCATATAGTATTATCTTTTTTTAAGTCATACCTATGGAAGCGGTCCCAGCGAGTGTCTGTGGACAATAATCTTTCGATGTCTAAAAATATTGTGTCAGGTGTACCTCAAGGGTCTATTTTGGGCCCATTACTATTTCTTATATACACATTAGACCTACCTAAAATAATAAATAATAGCTTATTACAATTCTATGCTAATAAATGACACACAATTAATACATATTTTTGATCCTTTTGGCGTTGATAACGCAACAAGCTCAGTCAATACAAAATATAGAGATGGGTATTCAGTCGCAGTTCCTATAGCCTATGGCCCATATACATTTTCCCAAATCTGTATAAAGAGTATGAATGATAGGAGATAGACGAAGCAAGTTTACAAGACGGGTGAGGATGAGAGAGTTGGAAAGGATCGAACAGAGCGAACGTACCTCAATCAGATTGAGGACGTTTTTAGCAAAATCCAGTGGTCCAATTAAGTTAACAACAATATGCCTACCTATTTAGTTTAAGTTTAAAAAAATTGGCTTTTAAAATAAATTTCAGTCGTCTTACGTTGCTATTTGGATCTGTTGACTAATAAGTTTGCCGACCACTGCCATAGTTGATATGAGATGAGACTTGTTGGTAAAATATTTTCCAAGTTCTAGAAAAATATCAGTTGCATAATTATTGTGGTTGGGATGTTCGATTCACTTTTTACATTTTATGGTTTTGCATTTCCTGTAAATGATAAAAACTAAATAAAATACTTAAATATTATTCCTAATCTGGTATTTGAAATATCAAAATGAAAAGTTGTTCTTCTATATTTTTTCTTTCCTATTTTTCATTTTGCTTCTCACAAAAGTCTAGACCCTGTCCATCATCGTTAACTTTGGATATATCCAATGCCGTTGAACTTCCAAATAATCGCGGTGTCTTCCAACAAGACAATTCAATTTATAATCAAAGTAATTATTATATGGATGATAGCGGAAGAAGAATGGGATGTTTATGCAATATTAAGAAGTGTATTCGAAAGTGTTGTGGTCGTGATATGTATATGAATAAAACCAAAGGTGGCACATATAAATGCATTGAAAAAAATGGAAATTTTAGTATAGATTTCTTTACTGATAAACAACCAAATCATAAACTGAATTTAAATAATTTTTCGATGATTTTCGGTTACGACTGTCCCGTGGGTTTTAATCGCATACCGGTGCATTCAAATAAAACTATTTTTATGCAGGAAAATGGCACTTTATATTATGATGATGGGGACTTATGGAAAGGACTATACCATTTGGATCTTTACTGTGTTGACCTGTTAAATTGTGAAATTTTAGCAATTTTATGTGAACCTGAAGACGAACAAGCTGAAATTCAAAGAACAGTTAATGGAATTGGTAAGTAGTTTTTTATTTAAATATAAACTAGTAACATAATAAAATAGATTCATAAATAGCAAGCAAACGTAACTAAAGACTGCTTTAGACTACACAATTTATTGTACAAGATTTGATACAATTTCTTGTACAATTTAAATTGTGTAGTATCATACAGAAAATTGTTTGAAAAATCGGATTTTTTAAACAATTTACTGTATGATACTACACAATTTAAATTTTACAAGAAATTGTATCAAATATTTACAAGAAATTATGTAGTCTAAAGCAGTATTTAGACAACAGTTGTAAAGACATTGAAAATTCTGTAGCCATAATCAAAATATCGAATAGCATACCAGTAGTTATTTGAGATGTTTAATAGCTATTTATGAAACCAGTTACGAAATGCCTTATATTATGTAACGAGTTAATTTTTGAAGGACGGGCAGAGCGAAGTCCCGCAACATGAGAGTTACATAAAACGACATTTCGTAATGTGTTACACAAAATATTTTTTCTAATTTTGACTGACTTCTAGTAATATTTCTTGTATTGTTAGTTGCATATGCGTTATTTTAATTATGTCATTGACAAATAGAGAATCATATTAATAGACCGCCAGATAGTGACTGATTTAGGTGCCCCATTTTCGCACACAAGCCTCGAAGAGGGTTTAAAAGTACATCGATTTTGAGTAGAATGAAAGGAAATTTACGAATGGCCCCTGGGGATAACATATGGAAAAATTCGATTTTCCTTAACAGAAATAAAAGGTGTTTTTTACTTATTTTTCCACGCAAGCCGTTTTCACTATATGATTAATTAATAGAACTAGGCTTCGGAAAACCAAAGGCTTTAATGTTGCAAGTGGCTAAAGGGTTGAAATAAGGGCGTAATCTTGTAAAGAAAAATCGATATTTTAACTGATTTTTCCACACAAGCCCGTCGAAAGTATGAATACATACATCGTCACTAGCCCAAAAAACATATTGACTGTAATGGCGCGAATGGATAAGTGCATTTTGGAGTCGGAAAAATTACCGCAAATTTTTTTTTGATTTTTGAATTATTTTTTCATGCAAGCCTTTTTAACCATAGAATGTTATTAATGTGTTAGACGTAATAAATAAAATTGGCATGAGTATCGGATGTGGATTCAAACGAAGGCTTGCGTCGGAAAGTTGAAGGGGGGAAAATTGTATGGAAAATGCCACCATTTTCTCACGCTAGCCATTTTGACATATGCTTAGAAAAAGTGATTTTAAGACTATATAACAAAAGGCTTGAGTGTCGGACATTATCATCATATTAATTATATATAATTTATTTAACAAAAAACGGACATAAAAAGTTTATAAATTTCCACCATTTTCCCACACAAGCCTTTTGGCATATGCTTAGAAAAAAGTGATTCTAAGACTATATAATAAGTGGCTTGAGTGTCGGACATGATTATCATATTAATTATACATAATTTATTTAACAAAAAGCTGACAAAAAAGCTAGAAATGTCCACCATTTTCCTCCACAAGCCGTTTGGCATAGTGATTTTAAGACCCTATAATGAAAGCATAAGTGTTGAAAATGGAACATATTATTTATTTAAAAAGATCTGTCAGAAAATGTAGAAATGTTTATGCAGGGTTATTTTAAGCTATTGCATAGCTTTTATCGCGGGCTTTTGAGCGCGGAGACCGAATCAAGAAATTCCGTAACACCGCAACGAAAAAAAACCTAACACCCCCCACTCCGACCACCACAGTGGTGCGGCGTTAAACAAAATTAACTTCTCATTTATTCAATTAAAGAAAACCGAAAAAACGAAAAATCGAAAAATTAAACAATAAAAAAATCTAAAAATCGAAAAATCGAAAAATCGAAAAAATCGAAAAATCGAAAAATCGAAAAAATCGAAAAATCGAAAAATCGAAAAATCGAAAAATCGAAAAATCGAAAAATCGAAAAATCGAAAAAATCGAAAAATCGAAAAATCGAAAAATCGAAAAATCGAAAAAATCGAAAAATCGAAAAATCGAAAAATCGAAAAATCGAAAAATCGAAAAATCGAAAAATCGAAAAATCGAAAAATCGAAAATCGAAAAATCGAAAAATCGAAAAAATCGAAAAAATCGAAAAATCGAAAAATCGAAAAAATCGAAAAATCGAAAAATCGAAAAATCGAAAAATCGAAAGATCGAAAATCGAAAAAATCGAAAAATCGAAAAAATCGAAAAATCGAAAAATCGAAAAATCGAAAAATCGAAAAATCGAAAAAATCGAAAAATCGAAAAATCGAAAAATCGAAAAATCGAAAAATCGAAAAATCGAAAAATCGAAAAATCGAAAAATCGAAAAATCGAAAAATCGAAAAATCGAAAAATCGAAAAATTGAAAAATCGAAAAATCGAAAAATCGAAAAATCGAAAAAATCGAAAAATCAAAAAATCGAAAAATCGAAAAATCGAAAAATCAAAAAATCGAAAAATCGAAAAAAACGACAAAACGAAAAATCTAAAAATCAAATATCGAAAAAGAAAAGAAACCCAACACCCCCCACTCCGACTGGCACAGGGGTGCGGCGTTGAAAGCCATGCATCGTCTAATGTCGTTTCAGTTCGGCAGACTTTGGCACGGTGTTGTTGGTGTGCGTGCGACTAGACGTATGCGTGTAGACTAGCTGCTAACTGCTTATAACTGATTCTATCTCTTTTAGACACAATTTCGCAAAAATTGAATTTCAAAATTTATAATCCACAAGAATCCCAGCTTTGTGGGGATTGAAGTTTTTCACAAAACTGTACTTCTTTTGCATTTCATCCTGGGACATGTCCCAGTTATCTTAAGTCCTGAAGCAAGTAGACTTTCGTCTGATTACTACGTTCCTGATCATTCTATATCGTGTCCTTTTTGCCACATTCTCTATCATCAAATATAGAGGGGTGAGGTTTAAGATCACCTCCATTGCGGCCGTAGGAAAGGTTCACATTGAGTAATGCAAACACAGGCTAGTCTTTGTACTTTTGAGATATTAGCTCTCGTAGTAACTAAACTAGTTCTGTTACTCCAAGATAACATAACAAGTGATGATTGGTCTCACTATTGCAGTATACATCCATCGCAATATGTTTGGGTTACATCCCCATCGTTTACCTGTAATGTTTCTGCATACCATTAGGGCTTTTGTGACCTTATTTACTATTTCCTTCTCATGTGTGTTCCAAAGAAGTTTGTTGTCCAGGGTTAGGCCTAGATATGTGAATTCATTTTTCCATTCTATATCTATCCCGTCTAATTTAACGTTTTTGAGATTAAGTTTTCTTTTCCTTGAAAATGCTACTAGTGTTGTTTTTGTATGGTCCCTCTTCACGGCACCATCTTTTGGTATGTTCTAGTCCTCGTTGGACTATATCACACAGGATATTACTAAACTTGCCACTAGCAAATATGACTATGTCGTCGGCATAACCTTGACAGGGTATGCCGAGGTCAGTCAATCTGCATAGAAGTTTGTCTACGATTAGGCTCCACATTAGTGGGGACAGAACTCCTCCTTGTGGACATCCTCTGGTTGTGCAGATGGAGATGATGTCCTGTCCTATCTGTGTCTTTGCAGTTCTCGTAGATAACAACTGAGCCATCCATCTGGATGAGATGTTATCTACTCCTCTGTATGCAAGTGCTCCTTCTATGTCTAGGAAGGCACACACGACCGTTTCTTTGTTTGTCAGTGCATCCTGGATTACATCAGTCAACTGTACCAGGGCAGTTTCTGTAGATCTTCCTGCTCGGTACGCTTTGGCTGTGGTGGAGTGGCACCCTCTTCAGGACTTCTGTTCTGATATAATTATCAACAGCCTTCTCCATTGTTTTTAATACAAAGGATGTGAGGCTGATTGGACGGAAAGATTTAGGATGTGTGGTATCCTTTTTCCCTACTTTTGAAATAAAGATGACTCTGGCCCTTCTCCATGCTTCTGGTATATATTCCAGCTCCAGACTGCTCCGGGATAGCCAAATTATGTATGGTAGTAATTCCTCCTGTGCCTGCTGAAGCAGGGCAGGAAATATTCCATCCACACCTGGAGACCTAAACGGTTCAAAAGTGTTTACGGCCCACCTTAACCGATTTCTGCTGCATATGTGCTTGGCCACTACAGCAGCCTCTCTTGTGGGTTTGCTGACCTTAGTTGTGTCCCTTATTAGAAAAGGTGGTGCTTCCAGGAAAGTGAGTTTCGAGTAAGAGGCGAGCTCTTTCCTCCTCACTCTCCGTGAAGCTTCCATTTGGTTTCTTTAATGCCATAACTGTATCAACTCTCCCTTTTGCCAGGACCCTGTGCAGTCTCGCTGCCGCAGGTGTAGAGTTAATATCCGCAGAATTTTTTAAAGCTGTTACGTTTAGCTTTCCTGATTTCTTTGTTGTAGGTAGTAAGCGCCTCGGTGTAGCTCTGCCAATCTCCGCTGTGCTTGGCCCTATTATAGAGCTTCCGCAATTCGGATCATAAGTTTGACAGATGACGGTTCCACCAAGGAGCATGCCTACTAGTTCTATTTCTTTGAATGGGGCAGCTTGATTCATATGCCTCAAGTATTGCCCCATTTAGTTCTTCGAGATCGCTTTTCAAAGCAAGTGGGTGCCCCGGCCCCTTTTTTGCCTGGATACGTGCTAAATTTTGTTTTAGAATGGTGTTGTATTTGTCCCAGTCTGTTTTTCTAGGATTCCTCCTGAGGATCGTCTCAGGAATATCGCTCTCTAACGTAAACACAATTATCTTGTGATCAGATAGAGATGGTTTACTCGATACCCTCCAGCTTTTAACTAGATCTTTAATCTTCGGTGTGCTTAATGTTATGACTAATACCTCACTTCTTGCCCTTGTTACAAATGTTAGAGTATTCCCAATATTTTGCACAATAAGGTTCTTATTAAAAATATATTCTAAAAGTTGCTCACCTCTTTGATTGGTGTCGTTGCTTCCCCATACAGTGCTGTGCGCGTTGGTGTCGTATCCAAGAAGTAA